TCATGGCATGAAGAATAACAAAGAAGTATGAGGACAAATCTTGGTACCAGTACTCAAAAAGGCCATTGGGGAGTGGAAGTGACCAAGGCATGGAATTGGGTTACAGATCTTGAGCACAAGACTTCTTGGCATAAACAACCTCATTCACAGGAGGTCCAAACAATCAGTTCCTACATTCAACAAAATACTTTATTGTTCCTTGTTTTAACTAATAATGTACAAGAGCAACTGATGATTTAAAAAAAAAATCTTAACTACATCCATGTATTAAAAAGAACACATATACACAAACAAAAACCAGACACCTACTACTTCTATGATTTACAAGGCCCATTCTATTCCTTCCAACTAGAAATCTTATGAGGGCAAAAGATAAAAGAAAAAGAGGAAGTAAGGAGGTTGGGATCAAGAAAAAAGAATGAAAGAAAACTGTGAAAGTTGAGCTCACGTCCAGAGGATTAGATGCCTACAATCTGGCAGGTCATGCAGATAAGCCTTCTTTCCCAAAAAGACCTTCCAAATCATTAGTGCAGTGATTTTTAACTTTTTCTTTGTTTTTAAGCAGGAGGCCCTTTTTCAAAACTCATAAAGACATTTGCTATAAAACAGATTAAAAAATGGAGCTATTCTGGCTCAGTGAGATAGAGACAAGATCTGAAACAAGCTGCTCAGCAGTGAGAAGGCACAACTGTGCTATTCCTAGGGTTCTAAGCTGTGGATGCTTTCTGATGTAAATCTAATGATCTCAATTTGAAGAAAACTCTGGGTCATACTTCTGTCTCAGTTCTGCACCTACAAAAGAGAGCTCATAGTATTTACAACCTGCAATAAGAATGAGTCATACTGACATACAGAAACAAAAATTTAAATTATAAGAAATATAAAACATTAACATTAAATTGCTAAGATAACTAGAAAAGTATTTAGGAAATAAAAATTTTAAGAATTTTGAGAATGGAACGGGGTTATGCTTAGTTTGATATTTAACAAATCTTGGGAAAGTGTAATGTTCCTACTGCTATAGCTATTCTCTGGAAACAAAAGTCATGATGACTCTGCTTGCTCTAGGCCTCTAGTAGTGATGGAGGAAAGGAGATAGACGGTCAAGAACCTAACTCACACAAGGAGGTAGGGGTAGAAAGGATTAGCATAATCCATTAACCCAGTTATAGAAACCAAGACCCTTAGGCATCAACGCCCAGATCAGGAGGCGCAACACCCAGAAACTATCAGACTACTATAGGGAGTGTCAATGGCACAAACCATCCACCCACAAAGATGAGCCTTTCCCTGAAGATGATAAAAACCTAATGCTGCCCACCTGTGACTATGCAGGTGCCTCTTTTCACCAACTCGTTCCTGCAGGGCAGCAGCTTCCTGCCTGCCCATGACCTGTACCAGGCCGGGACTTCTCTTCACTGACCTACCTCAGCAGAGGCCGCTCTCCTCAATGCCACCCGCCTGCAACCATCAGGCCTCTCTTACAAACCTGTCCCTTTCAAGGCAGCTCTTCCTGCCCACTTGTGTCCATGCAAGTGTCCTTTATTCTTTTGTCCCTTTCCCTAATAAACCTGCTCTTTAAATATAACTAGCGTCACTCATGGAGAAACTCGCCTGGGAAACTCCCCATGTGCGGCTGAAATGGGAGCTCTGGTGAAACCTTTCCCAGAGTAAAACCAAGGACCCCACACTCCTAACTCCAAGAAAACCCCATGGGTAGGATAATATCCTTTTCTACTCAAAATGTACAGTGAAAGTAAAGACACAAAAACATGAAAGATATAAAGAATTAGAAGTTTCTTTTTAAAAGTAATCCACTTCCAGGCTCTTAAACAGCAGTGTATTTGAGACAAGAGTCTTAGGCAGAACAAAAAGTCACCATCAGAATGCAAACACACCATGATTAACAATAATTATAATTTTTTCAGGTAATATATTCTTACTGTGGATTACAGCAAATTCAGAACCTTTATATACATTAGTTTATTTGCTGGCTTATTGTAAAGAACAAGGTAGGGTTATCATTCCCTTCATATATTAAAAAAGTTAGCTGAGGGCAAAGACACTACCATTTTTAAGCTAAAAGGGAGGAATGTGTCATTCCTTAGCAATGGGACTAAAATGAGATAGGATAAAAATGTAGATCAAAGAGATATCATAATAGGAATGATAGTATCAGTCTCCTGCAACATCACATTTCTAGGTTGAAACACATAGATATTTAGATAAACAAGAACAGAAATGTAGATGAACTCTAGTCCAGTATTGTCCAATCTAGTTGCCACACTAGCTTCATGTGGCAATTTAAGTCAATAAAATATTCAGTTCCTTGTTCACACTAGTCACATCTCATTGCTCATTAGTCATGTGGTTAATTGACAGCACAGATAAAGATGATTGCCATCATCGTAGAAAGTTCTAGTCAACAGCATCACTATAGTAGAGACCCCTTGAATGTATTTAAAATATCAATATACACTAAACAAATGTATGGGAAGTGTATTAGTGATAAAAGACAGGTTGCAAAAGGTTACTGAAACTATGCAGAGGAAAATAAATAAATAATAATAATTAATATTTACTAGGCACTTAACACAAGCTGATACTCTTCTAGGTGCTTTACAGGTACTAATTTAATTAATCTTCAATAACAAGTCTATGAGGTCGTAGCTGTCACTATCCTCATTTTAGAGGGAAAACTAAGAGTCTAACAGATTAACTTTCCTAACAGACAGTATTTGAATCCAGGCAGCTTAATCTAGGATGTAGAGCCTTTATTTTAACCATTATACAATACTATACTGTTTTTTTTTAAGATTTATTTATTTATGCCTACAAGAATTGGGGTACAGACCAGAGGTACGTGGGAAGTGGGTGAGAGAATTCACCAGAGACAGAGTGGGGAATAGAACAGGCAGACTGACTGAAATACACTGCTGAGGGGAGCAGTGGGTGAGACAAAAGAGGTCTGCTGTGCCATGTGGATAGCTCCCTGGCCAGCCAGGATCGAACTTGTGCTGCAAAGGCTGAGGATAGCTTCACAGTATTGTGCTTAACCCCTTGTGCAACCAGGGAGGCCCTATACTACTTCTATATAACAACTATATTTAATATTTTTGCTATGATGAAATAAAATTTATTTGAAGACAATATGCCCATACATTCAGCAGTCAAGTTCACAGTGAAGAGAATAAGAAAACAACTGGTGAAAACAAGAAAATAAGTAGGAAATACACCAAATTATTAACACCAGTTTAATCCCCATGTGCTGAGCGTATGGACAATTTTTATTTTCTTGGGCTTTTTTTGCTCTTGTTTTTATTAACTCTAATTTATAACTATTCCACAGTGATGATGCATCACTTCTGCAAAAATAAAACAATAAAAATATAATTTTTAAAGCAAATAATAACATGATCAGCTTTAAAATTCCTACATAGAATATCAAATTAAGATTCATCCATCTCAGGGGACCTCCCTGGTGGTGCAAGGGGTTAAGCACCTCACTGTGAAGCAATCCGAAGCCTTTGCAGCACAAATTCAATCCCCAGCCCGCCAGGGAGCAAGCCACATGGCGCAACAGACCTCTCCTGTCTTGCCCGCTGCTCCCCTCAGCAGTGTATTTCACTCAGTCTGCCTGTTCTGTTCCCCATTCTGTCTCTGGTGAATCCTATCACCCCCCGCATCTCTGGCTTGTACCCCAGCTCTTGTATGCATAAATAAATAAATCTTTAAAAAAAAAAAAGATTCATCCATCCTACTCTCAAACATTGTAGAGGCCCCCTAACTGATCTCTTGGTCTCATTATTGTAATTATTAGCCAACTGGGTTTTTATTCACTGACTATTCAAAAAAATCTTGCATTTTTACCTCTGTAATGTACTCCTTTCAGAGTAATTTACTCCTTTCAGAGTTCCTTCCCTAGCTTCTTAAAGTTCCAGTTAAATTCAAGCTCCTCAAAGAAAGCTTCCTTGACTCTGCCAAGTGATCTGATCTTTCTTTCACCCCTCTGAACTTCTATAACACTTAGAATTTATTCTGCCCAAGTGGTAGTGTCCTACCTAATTTTATTAGTTGTCTTTTCAAGTATGTAAGTTCTACATGCTCCATTAGTGTGCAATTCCTGCAAGCATTATTCTTTCTAACATATGACACGTCACTAGGCACATGCTAAATGCTCAAAAAAGCCAGTAATTCTATAAAGGTAAAAAATGTCAAATAAGCAGCATAGCCAAATACCATAATTTACTATAAATAAATATACTATAAATAAATGACCAAACATGTTAAATCATACTTAAGTCATATAATTTATCTCTAATCCAAATAAATACTAGCAACAAATGACCCTAAGTGAATAGCACATTTAACTTTTTCTTACACATAAGACCTACTTAAACATATAATGACTTAAGTTGTCTTATTTGGTTTCATTTGGAAGTATACTGACCCCACTAAAATATCAAGATACTTAAAGTGAGAAAAATACAGATATTGATTATGTGAGTGATAACTATATAACTTTATTATACAAAAAATAATTCTCCTTTAAAAAGGTAAACTGTGTCTCTGCAAGTGAGTGCCAAATGCTAAGGGTAGACAACCTCAGGCATAATTTCACTCTTATTGTTGCTCATTGATGTAATTATGGTTCCTCATAAAGTGATTAAGAAAGTTAAATAACCACACAGAAACTATAGTCATTTCTCTTTGACAAATTACTACTTCAGTATAAGGAAACAACTGTTCTAATGAGCTGCTACTAAGAGTAAAGCAATTTGAAAAACAGAAGGAAACTGCTTTATTAAATGCTGCTAATTACCAGAAAATTAAGTCACAATAGGTAGAAAAAGACCTAGACCTAAAGTACAGTGAAATCCCAGCAAGATAGATTCAGCATGAAATCTTGAGTCTCTTTTTAGCTGTTAATGCTATCCTAACAAGCCTCTGATAACGTTTCAGCTTTCTCACTGAATCCCACAGGAAGGAAAAACCATTACCTAAGGATGTTGGGGTGGGACAGTCTTTTCATGAGCTGCACTTCTTTCAGCATATTTGCTCGGTTACTGTTTAGTGTGTTCATTTTAAGAGCCATCACCTGACCAGAAGCTCGGTGGCGCACCTAGAAAACAAAAACAAGAGGCTCAAGGGTAACCGCTATTTATGAAGTCACAGTCATGGCATATGGAAAGTATCAGGATATTGTAGTGCCTATTTAGATAAAAAAGACATGGTAAGAACATTTTTTTTCAAACTTGGAATTCATTCAACTCTCATCTCCATTAATGAAGATGGAGTTATTACATCTGATACCAAAAAGTCTTTCATATTATGTTAGTCAGAAAAAACACTCTTAACACCTCAAGAAATCATGTCTTTTTTTAATACCTTGGGAAAGGATGTGTAAGACTAGTTCCTTATGACTAACACTGCTGAGTTTTCAGATACCAACAGGATAAAGTTCCTTCTGTGGAATTTTAAATGTATACAAAAAAGATATACATATAAATCTTACACACAATTAAAGAACTATAAAACTTACTATTTTTTTTTTTTAAAGATTTATTTATTTATTTATTTATTTATACAAGCACTAGGTTACAGTCAGAAGCGCAGGAGGGTGGGAGAGTTCACCAGAGCCAGAGCGGGGAGCAGAGCAGGCAGAAGGACCGAAGTACACTGCTGAGGGGAGCAGCGGGCAGCAGGAGAGGTCTGTGTGCCATGTGGGGCCCTCCTCCGGTGGCCAGGGAGCAGCCAGGGATCGAACCGGCACTGCAGAAGCTGCGGGCAGCTTTGCAACCCAGCGCTCAACCGCTGAGCCATCGGGGAGGCCCTAAAACTTACTATTTTATAGGAAACTAAGGCCACATCCCCAGGATCTCTTCAAAACACCATAAAACATATGTAAGGGAAAAATATATTTCATGACAAATACAGAGTCAGTGAATCTTTTAGAGCTAATATTGTAGTAATCCAACCCAAAGTACTTTAAAATCATCTAAACACACTCAAGTTACAAAAAACATGGGCCACACCACAGACTGTTACCTGTACACAAAGGAAACTCTGCATATAAAAGCACTCATCAGCTTTAGAATTCAATCTTTTTCACATGTAATAATATTATTTTATGATTTCAGTGCACACTCCATTGGTTTCAAAAACCACAATATTTTACTTGCAAGAAAATTAACTGTTTTCATTCTCTAAATGTGGTCTAAATAGTAGCACAAAAGGAAATTACCAGAGCAATATTTATCTTACCAAAGAAAAGTCCAATTATTCACTGAGATGTTTTCTACTGAGAAATTATAAATGAGGCAGTAAAAAAAATATGAAGTACCAAGGACCTCATTATTTCTTGGTTTAAAATATTTTATTTCATATGCTGCACAACAGGGACTTACTATACAAAAATGTCATCATTCTATGGGCTTTAAGAGTATTGTTTCAGTATATTTTATAGTTGACCAAATGGAAATTCCAATAGAAAGCGTGACAATCTACTTAAATCTTCCATGTCTTGAAATTCCTTAAAATATCAATAACCCTAGAAGTTTAGCATATTAATACTGGACAGACAAGTAGCTTATCTTATCATTCAAAGAAACAATGTTTAAGAATGGCCAGACAGAAAAAGTAGAAAGCAAAACACTCAGAGACACAGGAACTCTGATCAGAAAAACTGAGGTGGAACACTGGCTGCCTCTCTCCTCTTCTAGATCACTTAGTGAGATTTGGAACCCAATTCTCTTCCTAGTGCATCAATGATTCTGTTGTCGTGAACCTCGTGATTGATGAAAGAGAAGTGACTTTCCTTTTCAGATCCTGCATGGATAAGAGAGACATTTATACACAAAGAACGCACTGCCAGTATTTTTCCAACTCTATTTACAGAAGACATCTGTGTTTTAATAAGAACTCTCCATTCTGAAAAGTCACTCTACTTTTTTTTCATCATCTGAAAACTATCACTCTGAGTTTTTAACAAAATGTCAGCTTTTAAGAAAGTTTGATTTTGAAATAATGTGTGCAATTCAGGGATAAACAATTTGTGTTTCAAACTACTCAGAAAAAAAATCCACTCGTTAAACAAGAAGACAAGATGCTAAACATATTCATAACTCATTGTATTTTGTATTTCATCAACATAAAATATTATTTCTTCTAGCCCCCCAAATTCTACTTATTTTTCAAGACCATACTCAACCTCTCACTCTCTAAAGACTTCCTTGGCTGTTTGGGGGAACTATTCATGGTTTCATTCCTTATATTACTTTAGAACTACATTCATATACCAAAATAACACAATTATGTACGCAAATATCTCCTCACTAGACTATAATACATCTTGAGGCTAGGATCTACATTGTACTCATCTTTGCTTTGCAGTGCCCAGAAGGCCTGGTATATCATAAGACACAGTGAAAATGATGACAAAAACCATTAAATGATACTTCTAATAAATATATTTTCCAGTTGCTAGTAAATCATTTATTTATCCAGTACATAAGTACTGGCAAAGCAATTAATCATAAAGTTGACTATGAAATGAGTGACTTAGTAAAAGTCACATTCAATACATAATAGGTTTAGAATAAGTTGGTACAGCATCGATAACATCAGACAAACATAGTTTTAAGCAGCGGTGTTCAATAAAATCTCTAACACCTTTCTGAAGTTTTGGAAGTTTTCTGGTTTTAACAATGACAGGGGTGTGTGCAGGGAGCAGGGAGTGTTGCTGGCCAGAAATGCGAGACACCCTGCATGGTAAGAGAGAACATAGCATAAGGAAGCATTGTTCCATGTGCTGCATGAAATTCAAATGCCTTGCCAGACATTCATGTAAATGAAGAACATACTTATTACTACCTGAACTTGGTTTCTAATTCCATTTTACATAAAAACAAAGTCATCTTACATGGTTTTAATATATACTGAATTTTCCAGGAATGCAACAGCTTGGGTAAATCAAAGACAAATTGCTTTTTTGTTCTGTTTCAGAAAATCAATAAAAACATTTAGAAATCAGACCACAATGGTAATTTTGCTCCTGATATCTGAAACCCAATACAACCAATTGCATCAGAATCCATCTGTAGCTTTTATATTTGTGCTGATTTATTTAGTCTTTATATCAGAATATTAAATATAGGGCCTCCCTGGTGGCGCAAGGGGTTAAGCACTGTACTATGGAGCGATTTGTGGCCTCTGCAGCATGAGTTGGATCCTCCGCTGGCCAGGGAGCAACCCACATGGCGGAGCAGACCTCTCCTGTCTTGCCTGCAGCTCCCCTCAGCAGTGTATTTTAGTCAGTCTGCCTGTTCTATTCCCCACTCTGTCTCTGGTGAATCCTCTCACCTGCCAAATCTCTGTCCTGTACCCCAGTTCTTGTATGCATAAATAAATAAATCTTTAAAAAAATAAAAAAGAACAGAATATTAACTATAATAAAAAGTATGTATTTTGCTTTGCTCACAAATAAAGTTAACAAGGCACCTACTCTGCCAATTTTTTTCCTCTAATGAAACAATGAACCATTCCCTATTAAATGAACATTTGATAAAGAAAAAAGGTGACAAAGCTGACAAAGATATATTATACCTCTCCTTGTTTTCTCTCCTTTATCAATCTATAATTTGTCTTAGCAAATTACAATACCTTGTTTCTTTTTTTTTTTTATATATGCATACAAGCACTGGCGTGTAGGCCCAAAGTGCAGGGGTTGAGAGGAGTCACCAGAGACAGAATGGAGAGAACAGATCCACTGAAATATACTGCTAAGGGGAGCAGTGGGTGAGACAGGAGAGGTCTGCTGTGCCATGTGGGTCAGCTCCCCGGCTGGGCTCAAACCCATGTCTCAATGGCTGGTGTTAGCTTGATAGCACTGAGACTTAAACCCCTGCACCACTAGGTATGCCCTACAATATCTTATTTCAATTGAGGTTACATCCTTCTTTCTCTTATCACATACAAGTAAGTCTGGTCTGTAATTATACTTTTATTCTAATATCCACTGACATCTTTAATTTTTCTTTTTGCATGGAGTGGCTTCTGATTATCTTTTCTTAAATCTAAATTAATCATTTATAAAAGGATAAAACTGGGCCTCCCCGGTGGTGCAGGGGTTGAGCGCTGGGTTGCGAAGCTGCCCGAAGCCTCCAGGACGCTGGTTCGATCCCAGGCTGCTCCCCGGCCATCGGAGGAGGGTCCCACACGGCGCGCAGACCTCTCCTGCCGCCCGCTGCTCCCCTCAGCAGTGTACTTTGGTCCTTTTGCCTGCTCTGCTCCCCGCTCTGGTTCTGGTGAATTCTCTCACCCTCCCGCGCTTCTGACTGTACCCAGTGCTTATATAAATAAATATATAAATCTTTTAAAAAAAAAAAAAAAGGATAAAACCATCTGACTAAATGCCTTCTAGATTAGTCAGCCTAAAATTTACATATTGAAATCTACATTTTTATTAATTTTTAATTTTTCCTTTATCTCAGAGTTAGGCTATCATGTTAATTTTTTAAATATTGAGTCGTATGACCTATATTACATATCAATTTCATTTTAGGGTAATTAAGAGTTATTTATTTTAATTATTATAATAGCAATAATATAGTTAGCATTTGTAGCACTTGCTACATACTAGTTTCAGGTTCTAGAACAGGTTATTCCAAAATGTGCCAAAGAGTCAAATAGATTAGTTTGAAATAAAGAAACTGTGAATGAATGATACTCTAAACTTCCCCCTCTAAAAGCAGGAAATAAATCTCCAAAGCTGAAGGGTAGGTGCACTCCCTTAACCAGGAAGAGGACAGTATCTTATCACCAGAAGAGCGTTTCTAGGCCTATTTCTTCCTATGTAAATAAACTTTGCTAAATTCGTCACTAAATGGGGTCTAAGGTAAATATTTCTTTGTCCTATAAATTCCTCATAGACTTACTATCCCTTTCTCTAAAATGAATAATAGCAGGTAACACTCTTCAATCCACCTACTTATTGGTATCTCAGTATATCTGTATGAAGATTACTTTTTCTCCTGTTAGTCTGTATTATGTCAAACTAACATTAAATTAAGCAAAGAAAAATAAACGTAACTACATAAAGAGAATCACATTTTCATACTACTT